TAATCCATACTGAAGGCTGTGGTCTCTGATCTTCATCAGTAAGTGCTTCAAGTCCTCTTCACTTTCAGCAAGCAAGGTTGTGTCATCTGCATATCTTGTGTTGTTTCATACATAGATGGTAGCTGGTAGATAATAGATGATCGATGGTAGATACATAGATAAGATAGATACATAGATGATGGATGGTAGATATGGATAGATAGATGGTATATAGATACATTGACACATAGATACATGGATGGTTGACAGATAACAGACAATAGATAGATAAGATAGATACATAGATGATTTAAAAAAGAACCTGTTGCCATAGAGTCAATTCTGACTCATAGCAGTCCTATAAGACAGAGTAGAACTGCCCCATAGGGTTTCCTAGGCTATAACCTTTACGGGAACAGACTGCCACATCTTTGTGGCTCTTGAGTTCAAATTGCCGACCTTTCAGTTAGCAGCCATGAGCTTAACCACTGCGCCACCAGGGCTCTTTACATAGATGATAGATATATAGATGGTAGATAGTAAATAGATACGTGAATACATGGATGATTGATAGATGATAGAGAGATAAGTTAGATACACAGATGTTAGACGGTAGATGATTGATACACAGATTATAGATAGATAGACAAGTGATAGGTAGGTTGGTAGGTAGGTAGGTAGGTAGATAGATTCCCCACTGCTATCAAGTCGATTCCGACTCATAGCTGCCCTACAGGACAGAGTAGATAGCTAGGTAGGTAGGTTAGGTAGGTAGGTATGTATGTAGGTTAGGTAGGTTAGGTTAGGTAGGTAGGTTAGGTAGGTAGGTATGTAGGTAGGTTAGGTAGGTTAGGTTAGGTAGGTAGGTTAGGTAGGTAGGTATGTAGGTAGGTTAGGTTAGGTAGGTAAGTATGTAGATAGGTTAGCTAGGTAGGTAGGTAGGTTAGGTAGGTAGACAGACAAGTACAAGAAAGAAGAGCAAATGTGGCAAAATGTTAGCAACTGGTAAATTAAGGTGAAGTGTGCCCTGGAGTTCACTGGATTATTCTTTCCACTTTTCTGTAAACTTAGAATCTTCCACAGTAAGTTTTACAAAGCCCTGCCCCTGTGGCCCTGCCCCACAGCCTGGGCTGGGTCTGCACTGAGGTTCCACTCTTGGGCAGGACCATTGCCCACTCCTCAGGGCTGCCCCAGCTAGAGCCCTTTTCCTAAAGGACCCCTGGCAAGAGGCCGCCGAGGGGCGTGAGGGCTATTGGCACCCAAAGGGGAAGCATCACTCTTCCGGGGCCCAGGCTTGTCCCCAGAGTGGCCAGGACTGCAGAGCTGGGGTCTGGCTGCTGCCCGGCTTCCCACCAACCCCAGAAACCACCCTGTGAGGAGGGGGTGACCCTGGCAGGCCTCCTATGTTGCTGGGAGAGCAGAGTCTGCAGCCTCCCAGCCACCGTGGAGGTCCCGGGGCTGGCAGGGAAGAGGCCCGAGTGTACCGGCTGCTGGCAGGCAGGCCTGAGGTCGGGGGCTCGCAGACGCCTGTCTCCCTGCTGGGACAAGCCACTGGCCCTGCTAGCTCACCACACACCGAGCCAGACTGCAGCAGGATCCTCACTGTCCCACCACAGGGCCAGAGGCCCCTCCAGCTGCTGGGACTCTGGCTACCAAGCTCAGGTGGCCCCAAGCTCCAGAGGGGGACAACAGACCCACAGCCCTTGAGCAGGCAGGGGGCCCGAACCTTGGAGCAGCCAGACCAGGCAAACAGCCACCTCTGCCCTTTGCCTGAGTTGGGAGCCATCTCTTTGGAGGGGGAGTGTTGGGTCCACTGTCAGGGACCTCTCCCCTGCCCCCTGACCCAGCCTCTCTCTGCTGCTCCCACAGAAGCCTGACCCTGCAGGCTGCCTCAGCCCGGCTGGGTACACAGCCCACCCCCCTTCCTCACACCCCTGCCAGGCCCTGAACCTCAAGGGGCTGACCCCTTTGGCTTCCAGCTCGAGAGCTGGGTCCCTCCTGGCCCACGACTCTCTCACTCTGGGGCCCCAGCAGGCACTCCTACCCCTCTGCCTCCACTCTCCCGATCTGTGTGAAATGGGCATTTAGCTCACACACCTCAGCACCTCGCACAGGACAGAGCCGTGCTGCCGGTCACCCACTGCTGCCTCCGCCCTTGGGCCCCGCTGGCCTGTGTGACACGTCCGTTCTGTGTGTCTGCTGCAGTGGCCATCATGGAGACCCCGGAAGGCTGGTCCAGGACTCACCTGCGCCCAGGCAGCCAGGGCCCAGAGCCCCCTCCCTGAAAATGTGGGGTGGGGCCAGCGCAGACACCAGCCAGACCGGGAGTTCTGAGCCTCATCTACATTTCTCTGCAGTCAGAAGGGAAACAAAACTTAAAGGCAATAACCATCCTCTCCCCAAAGTCATCCTTCCAGAAACCCATGGACAGAAACAATTGCCGGTGAATTTGCCAGCAGCAGGCCCGTCTGAGGAGGGTGAGAACGGGACAGGAATGCTGGGCAGAGGGAGATCAGTGCAAATAAAGACGTGCAGACGAGGACATGGGCGGAGAAGGAGCAGCGGGGCTGCCGGCGACAGGGACAGGAGTGAGGACAGAGACGGTAAGACCAGTGTGCACGAGGAAGTCCCACGCCCCGGCTGTGCTGAGACCAGGCGCTGCCACCTGAGGCAGCAGTGCCCTCAGCTCCGTGCACTGACCACCGGGGACACCACCACGCCAGGCCCGCCACCCCCTGCCCCCCTGCCTTTCGTAAATAAGTTTGTTTAACGCTCGGCCTGACCACAGACCCGGAGGCCAGGAGCCCGGCTCACAGATGGCCTTTGTGCAGCGTGAAGGGCCCTTTCATCCCTGCCCTGGCCTTCGGCCCGCAAACCTGGTCGGCCCCCAGCCCAGGAGCTGCGGCCACAGGCAACTGGCAAGGAGGGCCGCAGGCTGGCCTGGACCGTGGTCCTCAGGCCACTCCGTCCCTCTCGGCTGTCACAGGCCCCCAGGACACTGCGCTGAGAGCAGGGGTCTGTGGGGCTTTGAACACACCAAGCCCGGGGTGGCTGAGACATACAAAGTACCCTCCCTGCCAGGACAGCAGGATGAACAGCCACCGCCCAGAGACTTGAGGTGGTGAGGCATGCTCTGGTGCCCTTGGTAGGACACGTGGAAGGAGAGGTGAGGTGAGGCCAGGTGAGGTGCTGCTGAGGCCAAACACAAGGCGTCCTCAAAGCATTCCTGCGGCAGCACAGCCCGCCCACCCATGCTGGGCCTCCAGTCTGATCCAGGGGCAGCCTGGGCGGGGCAGAGTTGAGCGCCAGGGAGCAGGGGGAGCAGCCTCCCCAACAGGAGCAACCCAGACTCAGCTGGGAACCAGCGCCTCCGCCTCCACCGTCTCATCACCAGGCGGGAGAAGCAGCTCATGAGCTGGCGGGGGGGGCCACAGCCCCAAGGCCCAGCCATGAAGATGCCACCCTGCCCCCATTCCTGGGGTGGGGCACCCAGCTGGCCCCTCTCCCAGCCTGCGTGGGGAGGGAGCTCTTCCCTGAGACCACCGAGCTCGGCCGAGGAGCTGGGATGTTGTATACCATTCCCTAACATTTACTGAGTGCCCACTGTATGCCTGGACCATCCTGAAAGTGCCACCTGTCTGTACCCGTTTGGCCTCAGTCCCCTGGGAGGGAGGCAGAAGGCACCGAGAGGTGGAGGAATAGCCAGGAGGGCAGAGCCAGAGCCAACCCAGGCCACCGGCTCCTTTCTTTACCAGCTGCTTCCTGGGGCTTGTAAGAGAAGCCAGCCGGCCCAGGGGTGCCCCCTGGCCCGTCCCTTCCAAGCCCATGTGCCTGAGGGGCCAGGCCAGGGCCCCCACAGGCTCACACTCAGCCGCTCCCCCCAGACCTGTGCTCCTGGCTCCACCACGCTTCCGTCCTTGCAGACACCCCCCAAAGCCAGTGCTGCGGGAGTCTGCAGGTGGCCAGCGCGTGCCAGGGCCTGAATCACCTCTCCTGGGACAGTCAGGCTGCCCTCCAAGACTCCGGGCGGCAGGTGCTGCTGCTCCCAGGAGCGGGGACTCGGGGGCTATTGGCGCCTGTCTCTCCAGCTCCCACGCGGCCCCCAGTTGCCATGCCGGGTGGCCTCTGGGCCCGGTAGCCGCTGCCTGAGCCTGTGGGTGTCCTCCCTCGTGCCGGACCTCAGAGCCGGCTGTTCTGGCCTCAGCCTAGAGCTCTCCCGGTTTTGCTGAGAGATCTCGGGCCCTGTGCTTTCTCTGGATTTTTCCACGAGGTGGGGATAGTACCTGGTCTTCACTTGCTAAGAGCATTTCAGAAAATCAGCAGGAAAGGACTGAAGGGTCTGGAAAGTCATCAGCAAAGGCTCTGTGGCCTTCCATCCAAGGCCTGGGGCTTCTGGCCCCTTGGCCTCTTACCCTGTGCCAGGTGCCCACTCCTGACCCCCAGATCTGGAAGCCTACGTTTTTAGGGTGCTGGAATAACCCCCGTGCCCCCCAGATGCTAAACGTACTGGGCTCTGCTCCCCAAGTCACCCCTACTTCAGAGGCTACTGCCCCTGTCACTAACAATTCCCCAAGACACCCAATGTAACTGTTGCCGACCTACCTCACAGGACCCTTTGCAGAATCACCCTGATGGCCGTCTGTCTCCTGGGAGGGAGTAAAGCCCACAATCTGGCCCCAAGGTGGCTCTTGGCCCTGGGGGGCTGGTGGCAGCAGAGCCGGCCCTTCACCCCTTACCTGTGAGCACCGCGGGGGCCAGGACCCCGGAGAGGAGCAGCAGCAGCGCCATGCGCAGGGCTAGACAGGATGTCATCGTGGCCAGGGTGAGCGCGCCCGTGAGTGGGATGCACGGAGGATGGAGCTGGTTTAAACTCCAGGGCAGAGGGAAGGAGGCATCAAAGGGCTGGGACGGGCTTTCATCAATGCCAACTCTGTCCGCCTGGGACACCGTGCCCACCCCACATGCGCAAACACACACAGACAGCAAACCGTTACACAGCAGCCCCACCCTCCGAGAGGGAGAGGAAATTGCTCCCTCCTCTCTCTCTCTCTCTCTCTCACACACACACACAGAGTGAGCACACACACCTCTCACACCTACTCCTGGGCCACTGGAAATGAGAGGGTCTCAAACTTCCATGTGCAAAAGAATCACCCAGGGAACTTGGGAACGCAGCCTCCTCCTACCACTGTTTTGGTGGGTCTTGGATGGGCCCAGGAATCTCATTTTATTGCCTGTGGCCCGGGCTCTGCTCACCTTACAGGTCTCCGTGCCACATCCAGAGTACGTGTTCAACGGAGCTTGTTAGAGATGCACTTTTCAGGCAGTTTTAATCCAGATTTCCCGGCAGTTCTAGTATCTCCCCTGGAAGCCCATGTCATTAAGTGTCCTGTGTCCCCTCTGGTTGCTCTCTGCTCCCTCAGGTGTTCTCCTCTGACCTGAGGCTTCAGACACCTGTGTGCTCCCAACACCCATTCCCAGCTGGGCCTGGCCCGGAGCTGCAGCCCTGTCGCCCACTGCCCCCCATCCCCACAGCTCCATGGTGTCTAATGGGCACCTCCAACTCAGCATGTCCCAACAGAACGGATCCACCGTCCCCCAGCCCCCCACCTCCCAGATGGCCCAGCCACACAATGAAAAGTTGTAAAGGTCTTTCTCTATCCCTCACTCCCCACATCTGTCAACAACCCTCTACTTCAAACCTTCATGATTTCCCCCTGCTCTTAGGAAGAAAATAAAGCTAAGGTTGGGTTAGGAAGGCCTCCATGACTTGGCCCCTGCTCCCCAGCCCTGCTCACGACATTCCAGCACACTGGCCTCGCCTCAGTTCTGTCAACACCACCAAACTTGATCCTGCCCCAGGGCCTTTGCACTTGCTTTCTCCTCTGCTCAGAAAGCGAACTCTCAGCTCATCACATACGTGGCTATCTCCTCTTCACCATTCAGGTAACAGCTCTGATCTGATCAGCCAGCCCCCATTCACCCATGACGTACGTGACTTTTAGTTTCTTCACAGCACTTAAACGTTTACATGACATTATCTTGTTTCTTTTTTGTTGTTAATTTTTGTGAAATAACATAAAGTGCAAAAATCTTAAGTTTACAGGTTGATGGATTTTTTTGAATGTATACACTTGGGTAAACGCCACCCAAATCCATCTAGAACACTTCCAGCACACAGGCAGTCTCCCTCTTGCCTCTTCCCAGTCAATACCCCTCAAAGCACTACCCTATCTTCTATCACATAGTTTGCCCATTATTGAACTTCAAATAAATGGACTCAATCATACAATATGGAATCATATGACTTTTTTTGTTCAAAATTCTGAAGGTGAGATTCATATTGTTACATGCAGCAGTTCATTCTTTTTATTCCTGAATAAAAATAATTGTATGGCTATTTATCCATCCTCCTGTTGATGCGTGTTTGGGTGGTTTCCAGGTTTGGACTTCTACAAATACAGCTTGTATGAATATTCTTGCACATGCCTTTCGGTGGACATATGCACTAATTTCCCTTGCTGATATACCTAAAGATAGAATTGTTAGGTCAGAAGGTTGTTGTTGCGGTTGTGGTGCACCCTCTAGTCGATTCTGACTCTTAGTGACCCTACAGGACAAAGCAGAACTGCCCCATAGGGTTTTCTAGGCTGTGATCTTTATGGGAGCAGATTTCCAGGTTTTTCTCCTGAGGAGCTGCTGGTGGGTTCAAACCACTGACCTTTCAGTTAATTTAACCATTGTGCCACCAGGGCTCCTGCAGGTCAGGGGGTAGGTGTATGTTTAGCTTCAGTAAATACTGCTGAACAGTTTTCCAAAGTGTTCCAGTGTATACCCTCATCAGCAGTGTGAGCGTTCCAGTTGCTCTGCACCTTCACCAGTACTTAGCAGTGTCAGTCTTTTTAGTCATTCTGTTGGGTATGTAGTGGTGTCTCATTGTGGTTTTAATTTGCATGTCCATAACCGATAATGTTGAGCACATTTTCATATTTATTGACCACAGGATATCCTATCTTGCAAAGGGTCTGCTCAGTTTTTTGCCTATATATCTGTTAGGGTGGTCTATCTTTTTAAATTTATTTGTAGGTGTCCTTTGTACATTCCAGATAAAAATCCTTCGTCCGATAAATATACTGCAAGAATGTTCATGTCTGAGCTTTGCATCTTCTCTCTTAATGATGCGTTTTGATGAATGGTTCATTTGGTTTTTGTCTGTCTCCACCCTGTGACTCTACTTCCAGGGAAGCAGAGACTACATTTTGCTCACCGATGCATTTCCAGAACCTAGCACTGTGCCTGGCACACAGCAGGAGCTTGACAAACATTGGAATTCAATCAGTTGGGATTTCTGGGATAGATTTAACATTGAACACTTCTGCACTTGTTCTTTCACTTGTTTGTGCTGATCAATTGTTTGCTCTCAGCTCCCCATTCCCACCTTTCTGCGCCCTGCAATGTAATGTAGCAATGTTAACACAGACTCGGATCCCCAAATTACACTTGAGACTTTCTTCTAGCCAACTACCTGTTAGGATCTGCCAATGGGAGGCACTGGTGGGAAATGGAAGGTGGGAGAGGAGGAGTGACTCTCTTTCTGCTTCAGATTTTTTAACAGCAGCACTGGCTACAATACCATCCGTGACAAAGGGTCAGGTGGGGTGGCTGTACGGGCAGCCACAGAAGCCTGAAGTGCAGGCTCCCGAGTCCTCGGGCAGCTGAGCTCGACACCAGGAGCCTCAGTGGACAGTGCTCTGGCCCCTGAGTGATGTCTCTGCTCCTCCAGCCCAGGGGTGGGGTCAGTTTCCTAGTTACAGTTACTAATTTTTGAGTAACCTTATCATCCCTCTTTTGCTGTTTTAGCCCTTTCAACATCCTTATAACAAATTCCTGTACTAAATCTCTAGTTGGAAACACCTACAGTGGTCTCTATTTCCTCAGCAGATCCTGACCAGTACAATACTTGGTGTCTGGAATGGTCCAAGGAAACAGTCCCTCAAAGATGTGCTTCTGGGTTTGGTTTGTCACCCTGTTTGAACGTGAACACGGAGAAGACTTCTTTGTTAGTGGACAATGCGATACTGGTAATACAGGGCCTGTATCAAGGCTTGCAGTCGTTTAGCATAAATGCCTATTGAAGACAAGCCTTAAAGGACCTTTACAGTAGTAAGGGAGCCCTGGTGGCGCAGTGGTTAAAAGCTTGGCTGCTAACCAAAATTCTGCAATTCGAATCCACCAGCCACTCCTATGGGGCAGTTCTACTCTGTCCTGAAGGGTCACTATGAGTCAGAATCGACAAGACGCAGAATAGACTTGATGGCAACAGGTTTGGTTTGGTTTTGTTATGGTAGTAATACTACCAAAAGGATAGTAAAAGGATAGTAAGGTGAACCGGCTACTTTTTGACTGCATTGGGTACTCACAAAAAGAAAATGACAAGCTCAGGGATTCAAACACTTAGGTCAAGACATGATGGAAATATCTCATTTCTTGTAGATACAGGAAAATCTGTATATGGACTGCGTTTAGATATTAAGAAATTACTGATCATAGTGATAATATGATAAAGGCATTTTTTTTTTTAAGCTGTCCTTATGTTACTAAGGAGCCCTGGTGATGAAGTAGTTAAGCGCTCGGCTATTAACCAAAAGTTCGGCAGTCAAACCCACCAGCTGCACTGCCGGAGAAAGATGTGGCAGTATGCCTCTATAAAGATTTCAGCCTTAGAAACACTATAGGGCAATTCTACTCTGTCCTTTAGGGTTGCTATGAGTCGGAGTCGACTCGACAGCAACTGGTTTAAGTTACTAAAGGAGTCCTTGGGTGGCGCAAACAGTTTGCACTTGACCTAGAGGTTGGCAGTTTGAACCCATCCAACAGCACTGCAGAAGGAAGGTCTGGTGAATTGCTTTCATAAAGATTTCAGCCACGAAAACCCTAGGAAGCAGCTCTACTCTGTAACACATGGAGTCAACCTAAGTCAGAATCAACTTGACAGCAACAAGTTTGGTCTTATCTGTTACCAATGCACATTGACTATTCATGGGTGACATGTATCTGAGATGCTTTAAAATATCCCAGGGGGAAAAAGTAGGTAAATAAAATTGGCAAAATCTCAGTAATTGTTGAAGTTAGATGGTAACAGGTAAAGGTTTTTTACACTGTTCTACTATATGTATGTTTGGAAATTTTCACTAAAAACAACTGGACTTGGAAAAAAGTTAATTGAAGACCATTGTTGTTGTTATTGGCTGCCACCCAGTTGATTCCAACTCACGGACACCCCGTGTGTGCAGAGTAGAATTGTGCTTAAAATAGGGTTTTCAAGGCTGTGACCTTTCCAGAGCAGGTCGCCAGGCCTATCTTCCAAGGTACCTCTGGGTGAGTCAAACCACCAACCTTTTGGCTAGGAGTCGAGCGCTTAACCCTTTCTGCCACCCAGGAACTCTTACCCAATAAACTCATGACTGTTAAGGATCAGACCTCTCAGGAATGAAGGTGAGATGCTGTCAGTAAGCCAAAGGAACATGGACTGAGTGTTGTTGTTAGGTGCCATCAAGTCGGTTCCGACACATAGCGACCCTAGGTACAACAGAACAAAACACTGCCCGGTCCTGTGCCATCCTCAAAATCCTTGCTATGCTTGAGCCAATTGTAGCTACAGTGCCAATCCATTTCATTGAGGGTCTTCATCTTTTTCACTGACCCTCCACTTTACGAAGCATGGTGTCTTTCTCCCGGGACTGATCCCTCCGGATAACACGTCCAAAGTATGTGAAACCAAGTCTCATGATCCTCAGTTCTAAGGAGCATTC